CCATGTGCAGTTTTTATTTATTTGTTCACTATTGGCTGAAAAATGATTTGTTTTACAAGAATACACCATTAGCTATGGCTAAATACAAATGAAGGATCTCCTTCAAACTTCTTTGAGAAGCTTTTGAGGTTTGTTAAAGAAACACTTCACTTGTTTTTTTCGGAAATAGACTCATTTTACAGCTTCTCTAAAGTTAAAATGATCAGTTTTACCATTTTTACCGTTCATTCAGTTGATCTCATGCTTTGGCATGAGCACTTTTAGCTTAGCTTAGCATAAATCATTGAATTGGATTGGACCATTAGCATCTTGCTCATAAAAATGCAAAGAGTTTGATAATTTTCCTATTTAAAGCTCTTTTGTAGTAACAGTACATTGTGTAATAAAACCAATGGAAAATGAACAGTTGCTATTTTCTAGGTTGATATGGATAGGAACTATACTCTTATTTTAGCATAATAATCAAGGGACTTTAGTGTTGTACCATGACTGCTGCATCAGAATCATAATACACAGTGTTGTTACTCTAGTTACTTATCTAGGAACTAATTTGAGGCGCTGCCTATTATCATTGCTCCTGCTGCTGAAGCCAAAGTACAGCAGCAACATTTCGTGATTATTATGCTCATAGTAGTATAGTTCCTATTCATATCGACCTTGAAAATAGAAACTTTCACTTTTCATCTGTCCTAGCGCATGATACTGCTGCATTGGAATGATGTGTGTTGTTACTCGTTATCTTTATAGGAACTATTTTGAGGCGCTGTGTGACATCATTGCTACTGCTTCTGAAGGCGTAGTACGGCAGCAAAGTGTCTTAATTATTACGCTCAAATGAGAGTATAGTTCCTATTCATATCGACCTAGAAAAAGGCAACTTTTCACTTTACATTTGTCTTAGCTCATGATACTGCTGCATTGGAATGAAATTGCACAGTGCTGTTACTCTAGTTACCTATCTAGGAACTATGTTGAGGCGCTGAGTGATATTATTGATAGAGTATAGTTCCTATTCATATCGACCTTGAAAATATTAACTTTTCACTTGCCATCTGTCTTAGCGCATGATACTGCTGTATCCGAATTATATTACACAGTGCTGTTACTCTAGTTACCTGTATAGGAACTATTTTGAGGCTCTGCATAGTATCATTACCAGAGTATAGTTCCTATCCATATCAACCAAGAAAATAGCAACTTTTCACTTGCCATCTGTCTTAGCGCATGATACTGCAGAATCTGAATGATATTACACAGTGCCGTTACTCTAGCTACCTATCTAGGAACTATTTTGAGGTGTTGCGTGATATCATTGCTCCTGCTGCTGAAGCCAAAGTACGGCAGCAAAGTTTCTTAATTAATGCGCTCTAAAAAGAGTATAGTTCCTATTCATATCGACCTAGAAAAGGTCATGGTCGCATGATACTGCTATATTACACAATGATGTTACTCGTTACCTACAGTATATAGGAACCATTTTGAGGCACTGCGTGATATCATTGCTAGAGTATAGTTCCTATCCATATCAACCTAAAAAAAGCAGCAGCTTTTCACTGTCTTAGCTCATCATACTGCAGCATCAAAATCATATGACACCATGCTGTTACTCTAGTTACCTATCTAGGAACTATTTTAAAGGTGATGCAAAATATCATTCCTTCTGCTGAAGCCATAGTACGGCAGAAAAGTTTCTTAATTACTACGTTCAATTGAGATTATAGTTCCTATCCTTATCGACCTAGAAAATAGCAACTTTTCAATTCCCATCTGTCGTAGCGCATGATTTAACTACAAAAGTTATAAGCTTTAAAATACGATTTTTTTATGCTAATGGTCTAATCCAATTCAATGATTTATGCTAAGCTAAGCTAAAGTGCTTCCGCCAGATTCAAAGATCAACTAAATAGATTCAAATAGTGTGAAACGCAACTGTTTAACTCAAGGTGAGCTGTAAAATTACCATATTTCCAAAAAAAAAGTGGAGAGTTTCTTTTGTTAATACCAAATTATTATATTTACACATGTCATAATGACAGTTTGTAAAGGTTTAGGTTTTAATTCTCGTTTTTTTAACACTAATTTCTTTCTGGGTGACAAAAAAGTGATCAGTAATATGAAGATACTAATACCAAAATGCAGATCATCAGGATGTTTATTTGTTTGTTCTTCCATAAATGTGCTTTAGTTTTGCGATGGTGCTGACGTTTAAGATTTTAAGCTTGATTGGGATGTCAATGTGTTTGTTTTCTGTCACAAAGTGCTCCCTGCTCCTGAAATAAGTTATACTGTGAGGTCTAAATCGACACTTTGATTTCTAGACTCTCATACTTGCAAAGTAGCTGTTTTTTTATTCATATCTCTGTGTTTTAATGAAACGAATGGAGTGCCTTTTTTATTCTCTGTCATCGTGTACATTAGACTCCATGATCCAAACTCTGAGTTTTGATGAGGACAAACGAGATTTACACGAGAACAGATGAACTTCAGCAGTGATTCCTCCATCACATCAGACCTCTGAGCTGCTTTCCTTTAGCCCTCACTAATGGACGTGTGTGTGTATATCTGTGCTTATTTATGAATCCAGTATGAAATGTACAGCATGAGGTTTATTTCTGTCAACGAATTGTATTTTTTTGCACTTTCCAGGTACGACAAATTGTAAGAGATTGTTTTAAATGTCTCCTTGATCTGTACAGAGAAACTGCTTTGTTATACGTGAAGATTTATCATTAAAGCCCTGTTAAAAGTCACATTTACTTTGTTTTTATAGTGATTTTTCTTTATAATAAAATGTTAACATTGCATTGCATAATTATGAACATTTTTACAGCATTATAAATGGGTTTTACTTCATTATATTGATTTTATTTTCATTTGTAAGTATAGTGTACTGATATATTAAGTATATTATATTTTATATATATTAAGTATATATTTTAGTGGAGAAACAAAACTGCATTTGGTGTATAAATCCAAGATACTGTAGAAGTTAGAAATATTATTTACTTGTTTATTTGGAAATGTATATATATATATTTAGAGAAAGAAAGAGAGAGAGAGAGAGAGAGAGAGAGAGTTAAGAAAAAAACTAGAATATACATTTACCGGCCTCTTTATTAGGTACACCTGTCCAACTGCTCTTTAAGGCACATTTCTTATCAGCCAATCACATGGCAGCACCTCAATGCATTTAGACATGTAGACATGGTCAAGATGATCTGCTGCAGTTCAAACCGAGGATCAGAATAGGGAAGAAAGGAGATTTAAGTGACTTTGAACGTGGCATGGTTGTTGGGGCCAGATGGGCTGGTCTGAGTATTTCAGAAACTGCTGATCCACTGGGATTTTCACGCACAACCACCTCTAGGGTTTACAGAGAATGGTCAGAAAAAGAGAAACTATCCATTGAGTGGCAGTTCTGTGGGCACAAATGCATTGTTTGTGCCTGAGGTCAGAGGAGAATGGCTGGTTCCAGCTGATAGAAAGGCAACAGAAACTCAAATAAGCACTCGTTACAACTGAGTCTGCAGAAGAGCATCTCTGAACACACAACACGTCCAACCTTGAGGCAGATGGGCTACAGCAGCAGAAGACAACACCGGGTGCCACTCCTGACCGCTAAGAACCGGAAACTGAGGCTACAATTTACACAGGCTCACCAAAATTGGACAATAGAAGATTAGGTAAATGTTGCCTGGTCTGATGAGTCTCCATTTTTGCTGCGACATTTGGATGGCAGAATCAAAGTTTCACGTCAACAACATGAAAGCATGGATCCATCCTGCCTTGTGTAAACAGGTCAGGATGGTGGTGGTGGTGTAATGGTGTGGGGGATATTTTATCTTTAATACTATTATCTTTAGTAGTACCAATTGAGCATTGTGTCAACACCACAGCCTACCTGAGTATTGTTGCTGATCATGTCCATCCCTTTATGACCACAGTGTACCCTTCTTCTAATGGCTACTTCCAGCAGGATAACTTGCCATGTCATGAAGCACAAATCATCTCAGACGGGTTTCTTGACTATGACGAGTTATCAAATGGCCTCCACAGTCACCAGACCTCAATTCAATAGAGCACCTTTGTGTAAATAAATAAGAAAACACATATTTAGATACATACAGTGCAATTATAAGGAAAAAAATTACATTTCTCAAAATATTTACCTATTTACCCAATAAATCTAAACCTGACTAACTTATTAAAATGTGCTAAAGTACCAAAAACTTTTTGATTATATATTTTTTACAGTTGCCTTTTATATTGAATATTTACAGTGAATACCATGACATACACATATGATATAGTAAATTTATAACATTGATGCAATGTAATATCAAATAAGCTTAAGTGTTTTTAAATGAAACACACGGTCAGTCTTTTTGTGTGTGATTCTGCTGCGGCCTCTTTAAGAAGCTCTGTTACTAGAAGAGATACAGCTGCCTGAAGTTAACAGTTTTTATATTATTTATTAAATGATAGTTGTATTTTATTAACGTCTACCCCATCCCAACCCTAAAGCTAACCGTCACAGTAATGTAAAAACACTAATTATACCGTATAATATTCATATTATTTATTATATTACCTGTCAAATTGTATTTTAATAACGTCTACCTCTACCCCAACACTAAACACACCATCATAGTAAAGTAAAAACACTAATAATACCAAGTAATATCCATAATATGTATTAAATTACCCGTTAAATTGTATTTTAATAACGTCTACCCTTCCCCAACCCTAATCCTAGCCGTCACAGTACGTAAAAACACTAATTATACCAAGTATTATTCATAATATTTATTAAATTACCCGTTAAATTGTATTTTATCAACGTCTAGTCCTACCCCGACCCTAAACACACAATCATATTAATTTAAAAACATAAATTATTGTTGTACATTGTCACAAAAATTGATGCTAATATACGCAGCTGTATCCCATCTAGACTGGAAGCGGCCGTGTGGTGTGCTGTTCTGTTCTCGCGAGATCTACCCGCGAGAGTAAACAGTCGCCATTTCTCGAAAGTAAGAAAGAGCAGAAAGTGTGGCGGACAGTTCGTTCACATCCACACAGAAACCAACTCGGAAAACTCCCGAATTACAGACCGCATCTAAGCCCCCTGTGCCCGGCTGTCTTCTCCGGCTGGTCTGCAGTTACATGTGATTTTCCAGTGGGAGTTTATGAGGGCGGTGAGTGATTGAGGCCTGACAGTACATTACATGCACACTGCATCCTGAGCAGACTGTAAACCATAGAGGTCTGCCTGACTGTAAGCTCATTGTTTTGGTGACTCTCACAGGAGCTAAAGACTGCAGAATAAACAGCTCTCCCCTGAAAAATGATCATTGAAAACCTCGAGGCCTTGAAGACGTGGCTCTCGAAGACTCTTGAACCCATGTAAGTGATCATGCTGCTGCATTGTGCGTTAAACTGATGCTTGCACAACAATTGTGTGTATGAGGTGTATTGATATTCAGTGTTTATTGGATTATTTTTAATTTGACTTAAACTATAGTTAACTCTAACCAGGTAAATGACTGATTATAGGCTGTAAATTGTTTTTAAAGCAATTTTATTTGAAGAAGAAGATGGTTATTTGTATAATTTGATGTCTGATGTTTGAGGAAAAAATAAAAATGAGGGGTCACTAACTGAAATATCAATTTACAGTTAAGTGATAATACATTTATATAGATTTTTCACTTATTAGTGATTCTTTATATTTTAAATAACATAATATAAGACCTTGGCTCAGTGGTTAGTACTTCGCCTCACAACAAGAAGGTCGCTGGTTCGAATCAGTTTTCATTTCAGAGTTTGTATGTTCTCCCTATGGGTTTCCTCCGGGTGGTCCGGTTTCCCCCACAGTCCAAAAACATGCACTATAGGTCAATTGAATAAACTAAATTGGGTGTAGTCTATGTGAATGCGTGTGTATGGGTGTTTCCCAGTACTGGGTTGGAAGGGCATCCACTGGGTAAAACATATGCCAGAATAGTTGGTGGTTCATTTAGCTATGGCGACCTCTAAAATAAAGAGTAAGCCGAAGCTGAATGAATAAATTAAGAGAAACACCTCTTTCAGAGTGAGAGAGATTTATCTTCATCGTCTACACTTCTGTTCATATTTGTGTTCAGTGAAATAATGAATATTTTTTTCCTCCATGAATTGTCGAAGTTAAGGAGCTCTAAAAAGTTAAATATGTAAATAAACATTGTTCATGTTTAAATCCAAAATTAAACTAAAAGTTCCTCAGGGGTATTCAGTGTTTCAGCACTCTTTGGATTAAGGATTCATAAAGATAAACAAGTAAATCTTAAGTCCAAGGCCAATATTAAAAACAAATCACTTTTTGAGTGACTTTGACTTATTATTGAATTGTTAATGTTTATTTTTTACTTTTTTACTTTATAAGAGCTGTGATTTATTGAACTAGGCTTGCAGCAGTCACGCCATTTGAAATTTGGCTTAAAGATGTAAAAAAAAAGAGCATGTTTTGAGGTAAATTTGGATTCATATTATTCGCACGTTTGTTATTTTTTTAACAATGACAATAGGGCTGGCCTGATAAACGATATTATATCAAATCGTGATAGAAATTGACGTCAATAACCATGATAAGCTCTGGACTTTTTTTGCTTAATATTGATCCAAGAGCAAATCTTACAGGAGAAATGTGCAACAATTGGAAGCTAAAGGTGTGTTGATATTAGAGATGCACCAAATTTTCGGCCACCGAAAGTTTATCGGCTGAAAATGTGTTGGTACTTAAAGGCTCCTTTAATTTTTGTGGCTTCAGTCATTGTTGGGGTGCTCTTTTAAATCTGGAAGCATCAACAACTTATATCAAAATATATATCGTTATCGTTCAATATGGAAATAATTATCGAGATTGCTTTTTCACATAACGCCCAGCCTCGACACGCTACTTTGAATATTTTGTCTGAAATTGCATTCAAGTGTAACTTCAAAACAACATTAGCACTATTTGTTTATTTTGACTGTGAACAATGTTGTACTTTGATAGTCATTGGCTGCTAATATGGTTTTTCTAATTAGATTTGGTAAATAATACTTTTCTGTAATTTATATTAACAAAGTCTGAATGTGCGAATATTAAACCAGCGTTACCTCATTAAAGAATGTAATAACACAGCAGTTTTTGTTCCATTGTAGACAAATGTTTAACATTATCATCATAATTATATTATTTTTTGTCAGGTGTGACGGTGAAAATGCAACGTCACGTCAACAACCCATCTACAATTCAGTTGTCTTTTGCGATGTGTGCTAACTAAGTGCTGTTATTTATAGTTCTTTAAGCAATATACGCTTATCGGCCACTTTATTAGGTACACCTTACTACTACCAAGTTGGACCCACTTTTGCTTTCAGAACTGCTTAAATCCTTTATGGCGTAGATTCAACAAGTTACTAGAAATATTGCTATATTGGATTGAGATCTGGTGAGTGTGGAGGTCATTAGCATAAAGGCTGGACGTGTTGTGCATTCAGAGATGCTCTTCTGCAGATCTCGGTTGTAACGAGTGGTTATTTCAGTTACTGTTGCCTTTGTATCAGCTGGAACCAGTCTGGCCATTCTCCTCTGTCATCAGCAAGGCATTTGCGCCCACAGAACTGCCGCTCACTGGATTTTTTTCTCATTTTTGGACCATTTTTGTCCGTGAAAATACCAGTAGATCATCAATTCCTAAAATACTTGTACCAGCCCGTATGGCACCAACAACCATGTTACGTTCAAAGTCACTTAAATCAGCTTTCTTCTCCATTCTGATGCTCGGTCTGAACTGCAGCAGATCATCTTGATCATGTCTACATGCCTAAGTGCATTGAGTTGCTGCCATGTGATTGGCTGATTATAAATTTGCATTGATGAGCAGTTGGATAGGTGTACCTAATAAAGTGGCCGGTGAGTGTATAAGCATTCATTTAATCCTGATTATCCTATTTATCAGGGATTGCAAGTTGAGGATTAAAGTAAAGTTGCTGTAAAGATTTTGTGTCTGCATCACTGACGGATTTGCCGTGCTGGGTTTCATGCAAAATGAGACCATGTGTTCATTTGGGTTCCATGTAAATGAAGTATGCGTATCTGACCCACAGTTGCGATGCCGATCCTTCTGCCCTTGCGAAGTATGTAGTGGCCTTGGTGAAGAAAGACAAATCCGAGAAGGAGCTGAAAGCACTATGCATTGACCAGTTGGATGTATTCCTCCAGAAAGGTACTGTGTTTTACATCTGTTATTGTTTTAAAGGGATGGTTCACCCTAGAATAAAGGTGTAGTAACCTTTTAGAGTTTACTTATTCTGTTGAACACAAAAGAAGATGTTTTGAAGAATGTTGGAAACTGGTAGCCATTAACTTCGATAGTAGAGGGGGAAAAGTACTACAGAAGTCAATTGGTGCGAGCCACCAGCATTTTTCAAAATATCTACTTTTGTGTTTAACAGAAGAAGGATACAGGATGAGTAAATGATGTCAGAGTTTTCATTTTTGAGCTTTAAAATACACAGTTCCCAGGTTTGCTCTTGTTGACTATAAGTTGACTTATAGTTTTCATGTTGATAGCCTTTAAAAAAACTCAGGCCAACATTTTTTACTTATAGGTGAGAGTACACTTCAATCAGTACTGGATTACGGTGATATACTTTATTTGCATGCACCTCTAAAAGTTTTTTTTAAAATATTGCATAATGTTTATCATAGTGCCTTACTATTTGTCACTGGTTCAAGTGCACGCACACACCACTATAATTTATATAAAATGACAGAATGGACCTCATTACAGTCAAGGAGAAAACAACATATCTTTGCTTTTATTTTTAAAGCTTTAGTTGGTAAATTGCCACAGTATATATTTAGTTTGTTGGAGTACTGCTCAAATACTAGATCAGCAGATATACTCTTACTTAAGAGTACTTAAGAGTTAGGTTAATCTGCATTCTCTAAGTATGCTCCGTATGTATGGAATGAGCTTCAACATATACTACTTATGAAATCCGTACCATCTATCGCTATATTTTAAAATATTTTAAAGACTGTCATTTCAGAACAGTGCACATGTTTTAACCATTGATTATGTTTTACATTATTTTTTTGTGTGTTGATGTGTTATGAGATGTATTTTTTTGTAACTTTGTCCTATGGTGCCTGTCTTGACCAGGACTCCCCGGTAGAAGTGATATTGTATCTCAATGGGACGTTCTTGGTTAAATAATTAAATTAAATAAAAAACATTCATGTCTGAAAAATTTTCAAAAAACCCTGCACACCCAATTTGATGCATACAAGTTAATCCGTTGTGACAAATTCAATTCAAGCAGTGATGCTTTGTTCTCCTCTTTCTTCTTCCAAGCAGAAAAAGAAAGAAGGAATTAATATTGTGTTCGTCCATGCATGGACAGGAAGGAGATTTCACCTCCTTATCAAATCAATTATTTTAGGAAATCAGTGGGATTTTGATACTTTGCTTGTAAGGGTGTCACAATTTTGATTTTAAATCGAAATCGATCGAAATTTATGCTCAATTTCGATTACCGAATCAAAAAATGGAATCGTTGATGCTGCCACGCCCCCATGGTTAAAAAGGTTGTTGAACTGCTTGTTGAACTGCAGACGCAGGAGACCCGTCGACGGAAATTAAACCCTCTCTTCTTTTAATGAAGTCGCCGGTGTGGAAGTATTTTGGATTTCCAGTGAGTTATGTTGACAACACAGTTTGCAAGCTCTGCTATGTAAGTATTAGGTTTGGGCCGTTAGATGAATGCAGGCATCGTGATCCTGCGCCCCGCCCCCGCTGCAAATCCGCTCGCGAAAAATACACACTCAGGCCATGTTTACACTAATGTTTCTTAGTTTTCAAATGTCATTTTATAACTACAACGATCCACATCCACTCTGGCGTTTTGCATTACTGAGCAGCCCTCCTTCCTCACTACTGCTGAAAACGCACATAACGTGACTACACACACACACAATCACGCACAGGCTCAGATGCAGATGTACACACACTGTCATGCGCTCGAGACACCAGGTCCAGGCAGTCAGCGGGTCAGTAGACTGCTTCAATCTTTCATTTCACACTTGAACTTGGTAATTTTAGCGAACACCTCAGATACTGTTGGGTGGTTCCTGGTGGTTGTGCCCCTTTTTTACTGACGCCAATATAACGACACAGATCACTGCCTATTCACGAGTCCCGCGGAAAAAATGATTGACAGGTGGCAATTAAGTGTGTAACTTATTAGTCATTTACTTTGATTTGTTTCTGATTTTGTTAATTTTTTCTTTTTTAAATCGAAAATCGAATCGAACCGTGACTTTAGAATCGAATATGTAATCGAATCGAAGCTTTTGGAGGATCGTGACACCCCTATTTGCTTGTGATACTTCACACATTTCCATCTGTAAACAAATCCCAAAACAGAGACTGGCAGTACTTTGTCTCTGAACTGTCAAAACACCTCTCAAAATGCTTTTCTAGAAATACTATTGACACAACCTTAGGTCGAATTTATTTTTTAAGGTGCTAACATTTGATTCAGTGTGCATTAACCTTTAATCATTTCCTTAAGCGATTGATGCAGTTTTGTTTGACCGCTCATTGAAATTGGTCACTTCCAAGATTAATCTCTGTTTGCTTTTTTATTTTTCAGAGACGCAGACGTTTGTGGATAAACTTTTTGAAGCTGTGAATGCAAAGAGTTACCTACCTCAACCTGAGCAGCCGACTCCTGCGAGCAGACCTGAAACTCACCAGCGCACAGAGAAAGATGAAGCAAAGAGAGAGGAGGTACAGTCATTTCTGAAAGCTACTGAATGCAAACACACTTTAATCATTACTATTGGAATGTGAAGAGACTTTCAATTAGCATAACAAAACATAAGACAATCACCTACTGCACCTTTAATGGAATCACACATTGTGAAATTTGCCTAAAACGTTTGTATTGATGATTATCAAATCTTCTGGTTGTTTTTGCATAAGCCGCCTAGCCGAGATGAGGACCGGGAAAAGAAATTCTCCAGGAGAATAAACCACAGTCCTCCATCTAGCTCCAGATACAGCCGAGACAGCAGGTGAGATGTTTTTTATTCTGATGTTTAAATTTTCCTAGACACACATTCATGAAACCCTCTTGCTAACTAACCTCACTGATACTGTCTTTTCTATGTCAATGAATTTACAGGAGAGTAGATGACCGCAAGAAAGATGATCGCTCCAGGAAACGAGAGTACGATCGTAATCCACCTAGAAGAGACTCTTACAGGGAACGCTACAACCGCAGGAGGGAGCGCAGCCGCAGTTACAGTCGCAGCCGTAGCCGCAGCTGGAGTAAAGACCGCACTCGAGACCGAGACAGAGAGCGGGACAGAGACCGAGACCGCAGCAGATCACGATCTCGCACACGCAGTCGCTCAAGAAGCAGAAGTAGAGGTTTGGTGCTGATTTTTAGAGTTGAAATTTAAGGGTGCTTTCACAGCTGATTGTTTTGTTTAGAAACGGGTTACAATTGTTACAATGCAGCTTTTTGTTCTTGGCGTGGTTTGATTTTAAACGGCAAAGTTTAAGTAGACAAAATTAGTTAAAACAAGTCAAGTCCGAGTACATTCTCGTCACATTGATCAGAGTTTGCTTTGTTTTTAAGTGAAAAGGTGTGCTTTAATTTTGAATGGTGATACTCACAGACATAGTCATCACTGAATATTATTTAGAGGTAAGAACTCCTCATACATTCATGCCTCATTTTAATTGTCAAGAGTTGTAGAATATATATATATATATATATATCGATTCTGTATCAGAACTCAAGTTAACCAAAAAGTTTATGATATCATATATACATACATTTTCTGTTATAAATATATATTAATAGACTTTATTATATATATTATTATTTATTACAATTTTTTTATAGTTCAGTTGGACTACATGCTTTCACATTTGTATTCATCATAAAACACACTTTAACTGGTAGGAATAATATTTCTGCTTATCATTCATTCTTCTTATAGCCGTATATACGCCTATTAAATGTTCATATAAATATAAATAAATAATAAATAAATAAATACATTGTGATATTGCCTGGGTTAGTTTGTTGTATCGTATTGCTTTCTCACTACAACCGAACTCCTTTAGTTCATTTCAACCAAGTCAAGATCACCTCATTCAGATGGTCTCAGACCGATTGTTTTAGTAAAAAATTGTTTTGCGGGTTTCACATATGCCTAAACCAACCGAGTAAAAGGGGAAAACGCCCCAGGTTCAGAAACGAGGATTAAGATGTGAAATCGCCCTAAATCCTTTTTAAGCAGATTTAAAAGGACAGTTCACTCTTTAAATCATCCTTTGTTCTTTCAAAACCTATTTGAGCTGAACACTAAAGATTTTTTTGAAAAATGCTAGTAGCTGGTACCCGTTGACTTTAGTAATTTTTGTTCCTACTATAGAAGTTAATGGGTCCCAGCAAACCAGTATACTTTAAATCTTTTGTGTTTAAAACAATATAGAAACTCCTAAAGGAGTAAATTATGAGGTAACCTTCATTCTTAGGTGAACTATCATTTTAGATTTTTTTTTAAAGCATTTTATCGCTTAATAATGGATGCGGTATGGAACTTTTTTTAAACAAAGATTTAATTTTCAGATAAAAATATTTCAATGTTTGTGGTCAGGAAGACTTTTTTTTATACTTTTATACTTATCAAAGCTGGATTTATTCAATCAAAATACAGTAATAGTACAGTTGAAACATACAGATATTTAATAATGTTCTAATTTAATGTAACTTTTATATTTAAATAAATATTTAAAAATAAGACTTTATTTTTTTGATGTCCAAGCTTAATTTTAATGCGATTACTCCAGTATCCAGTGTCACATGATCCTTCGCAAATCATCCAGATATGCTGTTTTGCTCAGATTAGCTCAAGAAGCATTTCTTATTAACATCAGTCTTAAAAACTTAATGCTGCTAAATATTTATGTGTGAAAATAATATAATTTTTTAGGTTTTTGTTGAATAGAAGGTTGAAAAAAAGCAGCATTTATTTAAAATATAAGCAGTTTAATCTTTACAGTTGGATGGATATTTTGTGTTCTCGAAGTGTAAACGTATTCATTTCTTACTGAACTCATTTTTAAATGCGATCATGCCTTATAGCAGTGTTTCTCAAACACATTTCTGGAGGACCACCAACTCTGCATGTTTTGGATGTCTCCTTGGTCTGTCACACTCATTACAGGTCGTTCAGTCTCTGATAATGAGCTGAAGATCTGAATCAGGTGTGTTTGGTTAAGGAGACATGGAAAATGTGCACAGCTGGTGGTCTTCCACAAATGTGGTTGAGAAACACTGTTTTAAAACATTTGTTATACCACAACACTATTTACAGTGTTTATGTTTTGATGAAATCTCCTATATGTCTGTCTTGTTCTTCTAGAGCGAGATTCTGGAAAGCCGAAATACGAGCACAGTCGGCCAGAACGTCCAGAGGGAGCAACCACTGATGGCTACACCGCCGCTCCTCTCCCTCCTGTAAACTCTTCGGCCCATTTCCCAGTACCCACCCTCAGTAGCACCATCACCGTCATCGCCCCCACACACCATGGGAACAACACCACTGAGAGCTGGTCTGAATTCCCGCAGGACCACACACCCTTCGGCAGAGGCGGCCCACCGAGGAAACGCTGCCGGGACTATGATGGTATAAACATTTGTATTTTTCTAGCTAATCAATCAATAGTTTTTATGTTATGTCACCATTAGGGGAACATCTGAACTTTTCCGAATTCTGTGCGCGCACCACGCTTCATTGAAGTAGAACAAACCAATCTGGCTCACTCTGTATAGAATATACACATTTCAGCAATGACAGCGCATCCAAACACTGCAGCGCTTTTTACTTTTCTCTATAAACTTGCATCAGAACTGCAGCAATGATTTCTGCTTGTCATCCTTTAAGAAAACGCTTGATGGTCGCTTAGTTATGAGAGACGCCAGGGGAGCGTAAATGAAGAAGTACACGCACTCGCGCTTAACACTTCAGGTCAGAATAACAACACATACGGAAATGAGTGCCGTATAGCAGCAGTGAGGAGATTGTAAATAAAATAAAAAAAGCATGAAAGCATGTCACCAGAGTGGCATTTTGGTTTCTTGTGCATCACAGCCACTAGCACCCCATCTGAAAGAGTTTTTAGCATAGTAGGTAATGTAGTCTTTCAACTTCACAATTTGTAATGTTGCAGTTTGTATTTAAATAATGATGGTTAGTTCCTTACTTAATCACTTAAACTCTGCGGACCCGGTACCGGTACTCTGCGACGTCATCGACATTCGCTTTCAGATTTAAAGGGCTAGCTTTGCACCAGACCCCCGTAAGTGGTGTCGTTTGAAAGTGTAGAATCTATATTTTATGCACATATGCATCACTTTGGTTTTTATTCTACTGTATAAAAGTTATTTACACTTAAATACACAGTATTTTGGATACTCGAGCTAGGTATTTTACATTGGTTCATTTTCATATTTTTTTATATGACACATGTACGAGCTATAGCTCAAATGAAAGCTCTTGCCGGTGCTCATACAGTTCTAGCCTTCTTTTTACTGAATTATATCCATATGTCAAACAGTTGTTGAATGAATTGTGGTGTTTCCATGGCGCAGAAATGTAAACAATACATTTATGATCAATAAGCAGCCCCAGATAGCACAGACAGCTCTCATCTCTCACCTTATGCTGTGCCCTTCAGGGCCATTCTCCTCTGTTTTTGAGGTGATGTGCATAAGTAATCCTTTTATATGTCTGACGTGGTCCAAGCATAGTGAATTATGTTTGATCAAACAAAAGAATAGTGAAATATGAAAACAAGGATTGGTCTCTGTGGCTTGGACGGCACCTCTCATCAGTTGGAATACAATATCTTTTGCATAGATTATGGTAGAGAGATTTTTCTTTTTTCCTATGATTACTGACATGTGCAGGAATCAACAAAATTAATTACAGCACGCTAGACCAAACACAACCTAAAAGGTACACTTTCAAATTTGAGTTTATAAAAAAAAAAAAAAAAAAAAAGCGCCTCTTTTTTTAGGTGTTTATTATAACACAGACAACATATACAGTTATTTTAAACACTTTCAATGGTGTTTATGAAAATTCAAAGGGTTTTCTTTAAAATGATACCAAATTTTTGCATTTACACCTCTTTATGTGCATTTGGGAAGCTTTTAAATTTGGGTAGGCAAAATCCAGGCGGAAATCCCCAAATAGCAGCAGAGTTTAACGCTCAGATTTGCAGTCTCCGCTGTATAAATCAAACAGTCACGCAAATGTAAAGGTTACAATGATTGGAGTTATAATCATACCAGCTCGCGTGCCTCACGTCTGCGTCTGAATAGTAGATCAGTAGATGAAGAGTAGTCGGGCCAATTCAAAGCAGCAGCAGTTTTTTTTGCTTTGTTTTGCTTTCTATAAAAAAACCCTGCTACATAGTATGGAAGCATGCGGTTCGGACGCAGCCGATGTTCACATCTTCAGTAGTAAACATCCATAATGAGCAATGCTCAATGTGTGTAATTCTGTCAAATGATTAGCTGAAGACATGCATAAATATTGTCATTTTAATGAATGTTTTGACCATATTTTCCTGCAAAATGGCATCGATTATCAGTATTTTTATGACATTGTATTGGAAATTCCAGTTTTTGCTAAATCACAAGCTTGTGTCAGTAACATCCTGCTTTATTTGCCTTGACAGAGAAAGGCTTCTGCATGCGAGGAGACATGTGTCCTTTTGATCATGGCAGTGATCCAGTGGTGGTGGAGGATGTTAATCTTCCCAGCATCCTCCCTTTCCAGCCTCCGCCTCTTCCTGGAGTGGACGGTCCTCCGCCGCCGGGTCTGCCGCCACCTCATGCACTCCTAACTCCACCAGTCAACCTCAGACCACCCGTGCCCCCACCGGGCACCATGCCTCCCAGCCTACCCCCTGTAGCAGGTGTGGGAAAAACATTCAACACATTACTTGAAAGCTTTATACAGTTTGAATTATTAACCCACACCCACCCACCCTCCGTATATTTTTTCCCCAATTTCTGTTTCTAAACATAAGTTTTAATAACTCATTTCTAGGGGTGTAACGATACACTCAGCTCACGATACGATGTGTATCACGATATAGTGTTCACGGTTCGATATGTATCACGATATTTGGAGTAAAAATTGAAAATTAAACTGAAATGCAAATTTTACCAAGTAAACTATTTTTTATGCATTTCTTTTGTTTCAACTTGTTAAACTGAACCTTCTTTTAGAAAATATATTAAACAGGCCTGTCTCTGGAAAATAAAACAATTTTAAAACTTCTTAAAAATATTACTGAAATGACAGAGACAAAATTAAGGAACAATTTAAGTAAAGGTGCAAAAAAAAAAGCTTTCTATTCAATTGAATTTAACAGTAAGAGCTTAAGGCTTTGCTTGGTCACTTGCGTTTTTTGTGTGTGCAAAAAAAAATCCACATTTCCAGGTATTTAATTCATATTTAATTAAATTCATTTAGAGATATCTCTAATTACAATTGTGTATAATCAAAACTCATTTAGAGATATCTGCAAATATTTTTCAATGGAAGTCAATGGAGGAATATGACTAGTCATAATATATTTGCAGATATCTCCAATCTGATTTCGTACTAGTACAATTGTAATTGCAGATATCTCTAATTGTCATTCTGACTAGTCGAATTATAATTATGACCAGTCAAAATATAATTAGAGATATCTCTAAATATATTTATGGATAGTCAGAACAAAGGTTTAAATGCTAAAACGGCTTGCCATTCGCGCGCGTCTATCAAAGTCCGCCCTCTGTAGTAACAGCTCACGGTCAGCTCACGTCATGTGTGATTTTGCGGCGGGAACATTATATGAAGACAGAATGATATTTTAGGGTGAATTGTACCTTATAAATACAGTATGTGACTCTTTCAACACCATTAGGAGGTATCCCTGTCGCTGTGCAAAGTATGTAAATCACTGTGAAGACTTTAAAACTTAGGATGTTTGACCCAGTATGCGTGTCAAAAAGCGGACGAGTCTAAAGCAATGACTGGACAACCGAAATCTTGCCAGATGTCTGATTTTGAGAGGATGGGCCATCCTCTATTTCAGCTCCACTCATCTTGGTCTGCTAACATTACTGCTGGTGCAATCTGAACTCACGTGCGACAGCAGGTGGAACGTAGCTCACGTGCAAACAGCTCAACTAATAAGAGAAAACGGACGTCATATCGTAATCATAATGCCACCATGCATATTGTGACATTTTTGCATCGCAATAAATCGTACAACGATAAATCGTTACACCCCTACTCATTTCTAATATCTTATTTTTTTTTATCTTTGCTATGAGGACAGCACCTAATATTTGACTAGATATATTTCAAAATACTAGTTTAAATTGACATCTAAAAGTTGACTAGTCAAGGTAAATAGGCAGATCATTGTATAACAGTGGTTTCTGTAGACAATTGAAAACAAGTATTGCTTTATACATAAAGGCTTTAAAAATTATACCATTTATTGTAGATATCAGCATTCACTAATACAAATCAAAGTGTAATGTAAATATTGTGTTGCTGTCTCCCTCAGGTCCTCCTCCTCCTCTTCCTGCTCTTCAGCCGTCTGGAATGGACGGTCCTCCAAACTCCATCACTAGTTCCGTGCCCACTATAGTCACGTCGGGCATCCGGCCCCCCATGACCCAGCCTCCACCCCCACTGTTCACGTCAGGTAAAAGGTCTAAGACTGTGATAACATCGTGAGGCGTCATTTATTTGATTAAAAGTGCAATAAACAGATGGTCGTTTCTGATTTTATAGATCCATTTGAGCCAGATGTGTATAATCCTGAAGCCCCCAGCATGACCTCACGACCCATGTACAGACACAGAGTCAACGCTCAGCGGCCCAATCTGATTGGTTTGACCATGGCAGAGATGGATCTTCCCCCTAGAGGTAACCTTGAGCACTGGTTGCTCTGTTAAACTGACTCATACCGTGAACATTTTGCCCATTTTTGTTCCTAAAGAATTAAATCGATCAGCTGTATGCATATAGATTAGGGCTGCACGATATTGAATAAGTCTGACATTGCGATATTTTGTTTTGCTGCAATATAAATATTGCAGAATGAATATAATTTCACCTGATGATTTGAGTAGCTCTATTTTGGAAAGATTTCATTCGTTTAGATCCGGGGTGCTCAATCTTGTTCCTGGAGATCTACCCTCCTGCAGATTTCAGTTGCTACCCATATCAAACACACCTGAACCAATTAATTAGGACCTGAACACCACTTGATAATTACAGGCAGGATTGAGCACCCCTGGTTTAGATCAACTGGGATGATCAATTCTTTTCCTTTGCAGTGCATTTGAATAAATTATAATAAATTATAAGCAAAAAAAAAAAAAAACCACAAGCAAACAGTGCTTTATGGTTCTGGGGAGTTTAACAGTATTAAAGTGCAAAAATTGACCAAATGTAAAATAACATGGTCATCATTGTATAAATAATAATAATAAAAAAAAAAAAAAAAAAAATATATATATATATATATATATATATATATATATATATATATATATATATATATATATATATATATATAATAATATATAACTTATATATATATAACTTTTTGTTTTATGTTTATTGATCAATATATTGTTCAGTCCTAACATAGATTTGATCATCTTTTAATGTTGCTTCTCTGTGTGTCTCTTTCAGAGAAAATGTCAAACAGCAACAATGCTCGGATAGTTTTAGAGTCTGACTCCAGGAAGAGAGGAGCAGGTCTGCATGATTTAGCGATTCCTCCAAAGAAACCCTGGTTTGACAAGTAAGACGTTGATGCCAAATACATTAAATATTAAACCATTAAGTAAGAAATTGCATGAAAACAAAGTGCGAGCTTTAAAGGTTTCATCAGTTTTTTTTGTGATTCTGTCCATAACTGCTGCTCCTACACTGCAAAAAAAATGCTTTTTGTCTTATTTCTAGTCCAGATATCAAACAATTCTTTACTTAAGAAGCATTTTCTAGACCAGCAAAAAATATTGAATACAGGGTGTCCGCGGGGTTGTAAAAGGTAGTAAATGAAATTAGCCAAAATTAAGGCCATTAAAAAGTAATAAACGTCATCTGAAAAGGTATTAATTTTTCGAGCCCAGTTTTTTAGATAAATTTTCAATTTGGGTCAAGTGCAGGCCTTTATTCTAAATTTTGCGTGGTTTTATTTATATGTTGAGAGTAGGACCTGAGCACTCTCATGTGAAGTGGAGTTCGCGCGCGTGCTGAAACAAACCTTCGGGTATTCGGCTGGCTTGCTGCCAGCCATATAGGCGAGCTCGCCTTTGATTCAGTAATTAAATTAAAACATGGGGAAATGCAAGTTTTTGCACCTCTGGCTGGAAGACGCAAGATTTAAAAACTGGCCTATGCCTGTAGTTGACAATAGCCGCGATGCTTATAGCCATGTCTGCAGGAGGAAGATTATATTGGTGCAATATCAGTTCATATCAGCCGTCAATCACTGAAGGCTTTCCACTGCCAGATGACAGGGAGCTTGTGTGGGGAATGCGGGAAATGTTAATGGGGGAAGAGTGAAAAGTTCCGATGACAGCGATTATGTGTTGAATGTTGATCCACCAGCCGAGTCCAATTGAGTGATTTCGGAGAAGGTGCTGGAATTGTTTTCAGAAATATTAAATGAACATTTAACACGTTTTTCCTTAAAATGAGCAAAATAATCTGCCAGTGGGTTAAGAAAAAATGTTTTTGCTGTAAAAACAAAATCTGGTCCTGAAATGAGAGAAGCTCTGTTTATGAACAGCATTTTTTTTGCAGTGTAAAGACCAAAAAATTTAAACATTTACTGTTAATATGGTCACCCTTAGGTCATTTAACAAATTACTTCTTTTCTCTAGGAGAACATTTAAGTTTTTTTTAGCTGAAAATGTGTTCTTGTGATTTTGATTTAAATACAAGTCAACAGCTTCTGACAGTTTGAGAAAATGAATAACCAGTGCCTTCTGATGGCACGTGGATACTTCACTGGATACTGATCCTGTAAAGTGAATTGATTGCTCTCTGCTAGAAACTGCAAAAACATTATTTACTGAAATATTACCTGTAATTTATTAGCTTTTAATAATAATGATAATTATAGATTCACTTTTTTACAGCCTCCTTTTGAGAGAAGCTTGTGTTGGAATCAGCAATCATTGACAATAATAAACAGCACAAAACCAAACCAAAAAAAATCTATGCACATTAATAGCTACCAACAATTTTCAAAATATATTTTATGTGTAAAGAAAACAAACTAGCTTGGAACAAGTGATTTCATATTTTGCGTGAACTATCACTTTAAGACCAAACTGCTTCTGCAAATGCTTTAGTTATGATATTTTTTTTTTTTTTACAAAAATAACCTTGCTGCATTTACAAATTATACAAAAATAAAAGGATGGATATATATATAAATATAAATATAAATGAAAAGCAAACAACCAAACAAAAAATGTAAAAAAAATTTTTGGTTATGGTAATCTATTAAAAATGGACTTTTATTGAAATACAGTTTTAATATATAATTTGTAATTAATGACTGTTTTGAAGTAACTCTCACAACACTGGTTATTATAAACTTGTTTCGTTTATGCATACAAATAAAATAAGTCATGAAATTTTAGCCTGCTTCGTTGGTTTCATTTGAGCTCTTTGTGCAACTTTGTTGAGACGTTTCCCTTTTGCTTCACAGACCGAACTTCAACAAACCCAATCACCACGGCTTTCACAGAAAAGTGCCCTTCCCTTTAGCAAACACCAAATTAGCCATCGGGCAGATTCCTCCAGAGCTCAACAACATCAGCAAACTGAACCAACACTTCAGCAAATTTGGCACCATCGTCAACTTGCAGGTACGAGAGCACATGTAAGCCTGTAATGGTTAAAAGACCAGCTGTGAAGTAGTTTTTCATGGCATGTTGTTTTTTTCTGTTTCAGGTGGCGTATAATAATGACCCAGAGGGGGCGCTGATCCAGTTTGCCACCCCCGAAGAAGCCAGACGTGCCATTCAGAGCACAGAGGCTGTGCTGAACAACCGATTCATCAGAGTAAACTGGCATAGAGAGGACACGGTGGAGCACATGCACCCCAAACCACATCCGGTATGAAAACCTCCAATTTCGTTTGGTTTGTTTGATTCTAAGTTGATAACTTGTTGGAATATCAAGCCAATTCCATGCGTGTTCAATAAGAAAAGGTCAGGAGAGGGTTTTCTTCAATGCCAAAAATATTAGTAATTTTTAGATACAAACAAATATTTGATGACAGAGCTCTGGGTTACATTACCCCAATGCAATACAAGAATTACATAAAAGAGGTTCGCAACTAACTTGCATTTCCTGACTCCAGCATATGTGCACAACTGATATTAACAGGTGGAGTTCTGGTGTAACGTCACTTATCAGTCATTCTACAGTCCTTTGGCTCTTGTACCCCCAGACATACTTCCTCTTTCTGCAACCCTTCTCTGCATACCAAAACTGAACAATTACGTGCATCTTTAATATATTTCACAACTTTTACAAGCATTATGACAACTAGTGACATGTCTAGACAGCAGTCTGGAACAACCCTACATTTTTTCTTTAATATATTTCCTCTGGTCAGCAGTACCTCTAAAAGTATGCAACACAGTATAAAAGAGAAAGTGTGCCAGGTCAACATGTGCTATTGTACAAAAGAAAAAGATTGATTAATAAGTTGTTAGTCTAAACATTTTTCTAATAAAAATAATGACACAAAAGTTATAAAAATAAATTCATTTTTTCCTACAAAACACAAGTTCATGACGTTTTAGTAAAAAATGTAATACAATTGAAATGAATAGCTTTTTTTTTGATAATGTGTCACTGACAAGAAACGGCAAAAACATTTATTTACAAAAATAATACCTGTAATTTCTTTTAGCAGTTAATAATAATAATACTAATTAAATTTAGGGAAATGAGTATTGAACACATCACCATTTTTGTCTGAATCCTATTTCTAAAGGTGCTGTTGACTTGAAATGTTCTCCAGTTGTTGGTAACAAATCAAGTAATCCATAAATGCAAAGAAAACAAAACTAATTAGTTTACAAATGAAGTTCTGTGTAATAAAATGAAATGATGCAGGGAGAAGAGTATTGAACACATGAAGAAAGGGAGGTAAGAAAAGGCAGCGAAGGCCCAGACAGCAGCTGAAATCTTTTAGTAGTTCTTCAGCAACCTGCTGCTCTTCCTCAGTGTAAATGAATATCAGCTGCTTCAGTCCAACATCTACATTACAAGGATGATGAAGATGGACAGGGATCCAAAACACAGCAGAGGAAACTCTGTATATATATATGTATATATATATATATATATATATATATATATATATATGTATGTATGTTTTGCATAATTAAATTGTGTTTTGTAATTTTACAAATATTACAAAGAAGGTACAGGGATATTTTTTCACTTGAATTAATTGTCATTCAAACTGTGGTTAAGATGTGTTTTTGTTTGTAAAGTTACGGACCTTCTTTGTAATGTCAGCTCACACATGGTTAAAACAGCTGTGAAATTATTAGAAAGAAATATTGCATGCGGCTAATAAATATATCTTCAGCGCAACAAAAACGCCTTGCACTTTTTACAGTATCCCTTAAATGATCTTGGTTATTAATTATCTTGTTTATGTTTTTTCTAATAAGTATGTTAAGCAAACATCATGCAAATTCTGTTATATAGAATGTGACGGTTCTCACACTTATTGAAAGTACTTAAACGTACTTGCATACAGAGGTGCATACAAGGTCTTATTTGAACAATTGTACTCAATTGTCAAAAACAGAAAGAAAAAAATCTTAAATTAAAATCTTAAACTTAAATCTTTTACTACAACACTGACAAATAATGCACATATTATCAATATTTTAGAAACTGCATTAGAATATCACTCTTATTGAATTTTATTACAGTTCTTTGACCATGACTTTTTAAAAGGATTACTCTGACATCTCAGTATAAATATTACGTTTAAGTAAAATGTTAAGTACAGTAAAGACTTTCATGGCACTACATATGCTGGGGTATGAATTACAAAGGTGCTTGATTTAAAATGAATGGTGCTTTAAAAGCGTGGGAACCCTTATGTTAATCCAGCTGTAAAATCTGATCTAGAAGTCATGTTTTATTTGTTGTTTGTAGAGTGTTCAGCCTGCCCAGGAGCCTGCAGTGACCGCACTGAAGCAGTCAGTGAAAGACCGGCTTGGACCCCTGCCCACCCCTCACCCTGAACCCACACCGGCCCCCAGCGGCCCTCCACAGGTAAACAAGTTTTGTGGTCTTTAAACCCCATTCACACGGGGCTTCAGCTGCAACGCTTGACTGAAGGCGTGTCTGAAGTTGGGACTACCGCGATCGTCATAGCAGCGTCAGCCAATAAAATTCAGTCAGCAATAGGCCACTGTCTAGCTGGTGTATTTGCATACAGCGATCTGATTGGCTGACGCTTCCCTCGGCGCTTGAAAAGTTGAGCTAGTCCCAACTTCTGCAGCGAGCAACGCCTCTGAAGCGGCGCCGACAGATCCACAATGCAGTTCGGCAATGCCTGACGTCACCCATTCAAATTGAATGGGAAGCGTTGACGCTGACTCGTTCAGTGAGATGAGGAAATCTTTTTTCAAGGCATTTTGTTTAATTTGCCAAAATAATGTTGATAAATGTTACGAGTTGCTTCCAAACTCATCTACAACTACACCAAATGTTGATCACACTACAAACAAGTCAGAACTAGAATGCTATAAGATGTTAACCCTAACCCGAGGACTCGAAAAATGAACGGGTCAAATCTTTTTCCGGCTCTGACTGCATACGTTTGGTTTCTGTCTTTCACGTGATAAACAATCGACTTAAACCTGATAGAAGATTCTAAAAAGGAACAAATGTTCTCCACCTCCTGCACAAATGTGCGCATCAACGAATCACTATCTGAGAGGACATTGATCATTCTCGAGTTACACAAAATATTCATTCAAAATTATTAAATCGTTCAAGAACGACCCATCGCTAGTTGTCTTGTGCATTTTCATTGTCCTCTCAGCCCTCAACATGTCTGCTTCTCTGTCTACAGAACACACTCAAGGCCTCAGTAAAGGAGCGTCTGGGCTTCTCGAAACCGCCTGGCCTTGGAACAAAGGTTGTTTTTTGTGTTGTTTATAATATCCTGGCCTTGTGCTGTTATAAAGTTTAGTCCGCTTGCTTCAGTCTTTGTTTTAACAGTGTACTTGCATGAATATGCTTCTAACAATGCTCGTTGTCATTTAACATTGTGGACCACTGGCTACTTAATGTTAATTGTCAAATCTTTTCTTTACAGGTCTTATCAACATCTACTGGTTTGACGAAGACTGTTTATAACCCAGCTGCTCTGAAAGCTGGCCAGAAGGGGGCGCCATTTAGTGCCAGTGTCAGTGCAGAAGATGCCCTGAAAAGGAAACAGGTTTGTTAAAACAAATACATACTATTAAGCTTGTTTTTATTAATGTATTTAATGCATTGGGAGTGTTGAAATGCTGCTGATATGTTTTGTAAGCTCTTGTTTTGTTGTTGTCCTTTAGGAGGCAATGAAGCTTCAGCAGGACGTCAGGAAAAAGAAACAGGAGATTTTGGAGAAGCACATTCAGACTCAGAAGGTGTGTTATTAATCTTGGTTCTAATATCTTGTTTATGTGTTAATTAGGCAAAATGATGGCAGTTTGGTTGATTTTTAACCGTTTTTTTTAAATAAAAATTGACTCATTTAGTAAAGACAAATAAAATATATTTAATAAAATGTGATGGTTAAAAAACTGTGACAGTAAGGACTGTATGTTAGTTAACAGTTAAGTGATAGAAGTAACTTTTTTTTATTTGTAATTTTTTTTATTTTTATTTATTTATTTATTTTTTCTTTCAAGGATCAGGTGACAATAAAGGTTAAATTAATGATGCTAAATATTCAGCTTTACCTCACAGCAATGAATCACAGATCAAATTATATTAACCCTTGTGTGCTGTTGGGGATGTTTTCATCCACTCTGAGGTGATTTTGAGGCTTAATTTGGTCACAACTTCCTCTGTGTTTTAGCAAATGGAATGATTTTTGGTGAACAATCTTATTTTGACTCATATTTTGGGAAAATGCTTTGTATTTTTAAAAAAAACACTGGACAATACACTCTGAGCAAATTTACCAACCTTTCGTTTTGTTCGGGGCTGTTTGTGCCCCGTTGACTTCCATTTATTATTACATTATTGATTGCAAAGCCACGACAGCTATAATCATGCATTCTTGATTGTTGGGGGTTTTCCCTGTTGGAAAGAGGTAAATGTTAAATTTAATTAATTTATTTAACGTTTAAACTGTGGATCATCAGTTGCAGTGAAAAAAAAAGCTTAGTTTCTGGCTTTTTTTAAGAGTATTGTGTGTGCGTGCGTGCGTGAGAGAGAGAGAGAGAGAGTGCGTGTAAGAGCCCTTTGCACACACTTATATGTCTGAGAAAATCAAAGTAAACATTTCAGTTTACATAACATAGTAAACATTTATGCACACACACTATAATTTGTTATTCTCCATACAACTCCATATAAAAGCCAAAAAATATAAAAGGTTAATGCTGCCAACTGAAGATCAACGGTAAAAATTACAAACTTTACCACTTCCCAACAGGGAAAACCAGCAACAATTAACAATGATGCATGATTATGTGCTGTCTTTACAATCAAGAAAGGTCATTTTAATGGAAGTCATTGGGGCAAAAGCCATACATAACAAAAGGGTAGTCAATTTAAACAATGCACAAGGGTTAACTTAGAAAGCTTAGTTTACATTATAGTTCATAATATTACTTTTTAGCCATGCATTATATATATATATATATATATATATATATATATATATATATATATATATTTATTTATATATAATATGGAACTTTAAAATTGTAATAATCTGGCATTGATTTTTTTGCAATTGTCTAGTATCTAAACTGCAGATTGTTATCGGGCAACGTTTTTTTTTCTTCAGAGACTTTAAAGGAAATATTTCTAAATGTAAATCCTTCACAATTGGTAGACTTTTTTTTGAAAGTAATCCTTAAACTGATTTATCTATTGCTGTTGGAGTCTTTTTATTATGATGTTTATGATTTGCCATGTTAAGTTTTGGGTTTTGCCATGAAAAACACGCCTTCTATGTGGCTTTAATTTAGAGGTCTGACATAACAATTTTAGCAAATTATGTCTATGAGAAAACCAAGATCCTTTTATGTGTTTTTCAGCTGTTGATATCAAGGCTAGAGAAGAACAAGTCCATGAAGGCGGAGGATAAAGCTCAGATCATGCAGACGCTCACCAGCCTCACCAACAGCATCACCAAACTCCAGGAGGAGATAAAGGGGCTGTCCAGTGCAAATGCCCTCAGGACCACGGTTAAGAGCAAAGCCCAGGTACACACATGGACACACAGACACACACATCCATGATAATAAAGCAGTTGTGCATGTGTTTATACTCATGCATATACATTTGCAGGCCCAGAAGGAGCTCCTGGACACAGAGTTGGATCTTTATAAGAAAATGCAGGCAGGAGAAGACACTGCTGAACTCAAGATCAAATATACACAACTGCAGTTAGAGGTATTTCACAAGACAGAAAAAACCCTTGTCTCCCCCTCACATTTAGTTTATTTCTTAACATTTAGTTTTGAATTTTTACATATACAGTTGAAGTCAGAATTATTAGCCCCCTTTGAATTTTTTCCCCTTTTTTTTAAAGGGTCACGAAACACCCAAACACATGTTTTGAGCTGTTGACAGTCGTATATGTGTCCCACACTGCTAAATACACTATTAGGACACCTATATTTCACTAAAAAGTGTAAATTGGTTGTTTTTGCGTTATTTCAAGCAAATTTGTACTTCCTGTTTAAAACGAATTTTTGAAGCTGCGTCACGGTCATGACATAATAGCGTGTATTCCAGCGTGCAGACTGGACGTCTGTGCCAGAGGGAGTCTTATTACGTCTTACAGTGTGATACATTAATGCATGAGTAAGGCTTGGTTCAAACCAATCAGCGCGCTCTATTGTGCAACTTCATTAATATTCATTAGTGTCACCGTGTTTACGCCACAAAGACGCCACGTTGTGTTGGCAAAACAAGCGTGAAGTGTTGCTTTTATAGTTTGCTGCCGTTAAGTTTCGTTTTCATTTTCTCTCTGTGAGAGCTCAGTCTCACGTGTGGTTTAACAGTGTACGCGACGCTCGACAACAATAACTTACGTGTCAAAGGAGGATTATTGTTTACCTGAGAGCTGTTCTCATCTGCAAACGCTGAAATCTGGATTCGCTTGTAGTATTCTCTCCATAAAGACGCGGCTCTATTTGCTGGTGATTGTCCTGTCTCTACAGATTTGGCAAGTGAGCGACCAGTGCTCTTTGTTTATTCTGTTTGTTCGTATCGAATTAAGTTACTATTGCACTGAGTGCAGAAATGTTAGCACCGCATTTTGTGACCGGAATAACACACGCGGCTTTCTGATGCTACCTGCCGTGTGCATCTAAGTTTCCGGGAAATGCGGAGTTTTTTTCTCTCTCATTCGCCGTGCGGTATCAAACATTGCATGAAAAATACACGCTTGCAGCAGTTCCTTGAATCAAATATCTCGTTTGTCTCGAGAGGCATGAATGAATTCCCTGTAGAAAGAGCCAAACTGCAGTTAAAGTCCAACTTTTAATAATTTGGCAAATAATTTGACTACAGATGTCCATGTAAACACAGTCACATTGTCCGCTGTGGGTGTGTATTTTGACTCTGAAACTCGCGCGTGCACAAATAGACACTCCCACACCATCCCACTTTAGTTCCTCCGACACTCCCCCCTAAACAGAGCTGGACATGCCCACTTTTCTGACTTTTTCCAAAGCAGAGGTGTGAAAACACCCTGCTGAAACGAGGGGGTTTCATGGCCCTTTAAGTATTTCCCAAATGATGAACTGAAAACAGAGCAAGGAAATTTTCACAGCGTGTCTGATAATATATGTTCTTCTGGAGAAAGTCCTATTAGTTTTATTTCGGCTAGAATAAAAGCAGTTTGAAAAACATTTTAAAGTCAATATTATTAGCCCCTTTAAGCTATTTTTTTTTCGATAGCCTACAGAGCAAACTATCATTATACAATAACTTGCCTATTTACCCTAACCTGCCTAGTTAACCTAGTTAAGACTTTAAATGTCACTTTAAGCTGTATAGAAGTGTCTTGAAAAATATCTATTAAAATATTATTTACATTCATTATGGCAAAGATAAAATAAATCTGCTATAAGAAATGAGTTATTAAAACTATTATGATTAGAAATGTGCTAAAAAAAATATTCTCTCCGTTTAACAGAAACTGGGAAAAAATAAACAGGGGGAGGGCTAATAGTTCAGGGAGGACTTCAACTGTATGTATCTTAATTTTTTCCTGATTGCTTAAAATTTTAAGGAATTGTCATGAAATGAGGGAACTAAAATATATTAGGAAAACTAACATTGAGAACAGATATTTAGGGTGTGCTCGCACTAGGCACAGTTGTCTTGAACTGAACGATTGTCTCCTCGCCCCCTATGCCATTGTTTTTGTTTACATCCCTCAAAATGGTCTATATATACTGGGGCTGTGCAATTAATAGAACATCCGATTTGGATTTAAAGTTTAGCTTCTAACGATTATGAAAAACCATTAATCGAGATAAACAATAATAAACTTAGCAGCGCGAAAGACCGCATGCTTATGCCGCACACACTGAAGCATGTGTTCATCATTTAGTCTCATTCGCACACTGAGACGAGCAGAGCGCACACATCTAAAGTCATCTTAACCTGAGCACTTTAATGGTTTAAATAGGTGTCAAAACGCGGTGTTTAGTGATTATTTATATTAACCGTCATTTGTGTAATGAACAAACGAGTTGAGAATCAAGACACGTGAAAGAGAAACCAATAAAGTAACCATGCGATATTCCTGCTGCCGCCTGTTTTCATCATGATTAATAAAACAACTAAGAGAAAATTCCATACTGCTCTTGACTGTAGGCTTGGGCGGTATTACGGTATTATGGCATATTGCGGGATCAAAAAATAGCAACGGTGTCAGTTTTAATACCGTTATACCGTCATAAAATATTAAATATCCTTTATTTAATGCCTACAAAAACGTATGTGTGGTTGTCATCACGGGACAGTGTGGAGGAGAGAGGGAGGGGGAGAGAGGGAGGGGGAGAGGTGACGTGATGAGTCGCGCTTCAAAGTGTCCTGCAGTTTGGCAGTATTTACGGTTTTGACTGAACAGAAGGGAGACGTGGTTAATATGAACGAGAGGTCTGCATTAGAGCTGAAGATCTTTGCCCGAACCTGGCGAGAACCGAAAAAATCAAATCCCTGCATTAAAATCCATTCCTGCAAAGGTGAAACCAATGATGACGAAGTAGTAAAAAAAGCTCATTTTGACGGCGGTCAACTCAGTCACTAGCTCAGGAGGAGCGGTCATTCCAGCCAGGTATTTCGGCGGTCGCTCATACACTGCGTATTACGGTAGAGCCCTAAACCGCAAGCTGACAGGTAAAAAGACGAGGCCATTCGCTACACTGAAACTGCTGTCATGGAAAATTAAATGGATGTTCCTGATTGGTAGAAGATGAACAAACAATCCTACCCAAAAAACTTGCAAAATCAGCCGGATCAGAACTCAGCATCTCGGCCTGTAGCAGCAGGAAAGGGTGTTCAGCTGCTGGACCCCGTGAGCGCAGGACTGCGCTAAAGCCAGTGGATTTAAATGTTCCCCCACAACAACACATCATAATTTTTACGTCATAATTTTTTATTACGCCGGTAATACCGGATACCGGGGTAAAATATGGAGGCGGTTTGACGGTGTCAAAATTTGGATACCGCCCAAGCCTACTTGACTGAAGGACTTTTGTAGCTAAAGGGTTTTTCTTACAGTGAAGATACTTAAAGCTCAGTTTGTTTCATATTTTTATTCTATTTTATTTATTTCTCTTTCCTTTGCAGGGATGAAAATAACTGTATATATGCAGCTGAAGTCAGAATTATTAGCCCTCCTGAATATTAGCAACCCTTTTCCCACAATTTCTGTTTAATGGAAAGAAGATTTTTTTCAATACATTTCTAAACATGATCGTTTTAATAACTTATTTCTAATAACTGATTTCTTTTATCTTTGCTATGGTGACAGCACATAATATTACACTATTTTCAAAATACAAGCATTCAGATTAAAGTGCGATTCAAAGACTTAATTAGGGTAATTAGGCAAGTCATTGTATAACAGTAGTTTCTTCTGCAGACAATCAAAAATATATTGCTTAAGGGGGCTAATAATATTGACCTTAAAAGAGGTTTCAAAATATTTAAACCTGCTTTTATTCTAGCCAAAACAAAACAAATAAGACTTTCTCCAGAAGAAAAAAAATATTAGAGGAAAATGTTAAAATTCCTTGCTCTGTGAAACATAATTTGGGAATTTATTAATTAAAAAAAAAAATCTCAGGAGCGCAAAGAATTTTGTCTTCAACTGATAATCATTTTGAATAATCGTGATTACAATTATGACCAAAATAATCGTGATTATGATTTTTCCCAAAATCGAGCAGCCCTAATATATACTCAATATAACTTATTGCATACTGCCTTATAAAGATGATAAGCGCTGCTCATTCTCAGTCTTTCCACCAGGTGGCACTATAGAGCTATCTAAACTCCTACAAGCATCCGTTAGATATTTTCTTTTCGTTCAGGCTGCCAAAAGGGGGCTTCTGACCCCAGGACGTGGGAGGGGGGCCCACAGCAGGGGTCGAGGGGCCCTGAGGAGCCGCGGCCGAGGGATTCGAGGGCGAGGGAGAGGAGCTCCAACCCATGCTGTGGTGGATCATCGACCCAGAGCTTTAGAAATCAGCGGTTTCTCCGAGGCCGATCGAGTCGACCTGCTGCCACACTTCGCAGTGAGTACATTTAAAGGCCACGTTGCATCACGCTGCTTATATCAAATCTCCTCTTTGAGTCTTAACTGATTTTTTCCACTTACCTACAGCAATACGGAGAGATTGAAGACTGCCAGATGGAGGATTCTAGTCTCAGTGCCATCATTACGTACAAAACCCGCGCAGAGGCTGAACAGGTACAAATGTATTTCCATAAACACATCACTATGCATGTATATGGACTCTTTTCACATATCCAGGTTTCTCAGTTGTCATAGTTGGTTAACTTGGAGCACAGTGAATGGGAAAGTACAACACATATTTTTATTACAGTCATATTTGCTAAAATAATAAAAAAACTTCACAATGGTGTTATCAAGACTTTCAAAAAAAAGGACAAAAATAGTGTGAGACTGATGGCGGCAGCCGGATAAGAGAACATCATATTTACTGTCCCGCCCCAATAGACGCCTCATTTCAAACACCTCGCTTAAGCGGTAATGTTTTTTCTAATTAGGTGCAAAGATGATATCATACATAAATACATAATCTACCTGACAAATGTCTTGTCGCCTATCCAAGTTTTAGGAACAACAAATAATGACTTCTAGTTGATCATTTGGTATCAGAAGTGGCTTATATGAAAGGCAAAGGCCTCTAGATTACACTTATTTTAGGTAAATAACATGATTATGCCTTGATTTTTAATTATTTAATTAGGACTGTGCGGTCTTTGCTTAGACAAAAGTCTTGTCACTTAACAGAAATAATAAATAATATAGAATATAAAGTCATGGTGATGTTTCCCAGAGATGGGTTGCGGCCGGAAGGGCATCCGCTGCATAAAAAACTTGCTGGATAAGTTGGCGGTTCATTCCGCTGTGGCGACCCCGGATTAATAAAGGGACTAAGCCGACAAGAAAATGAATAAATGAATGAATAAAGTCATGGTGCAGTGGAAAAAAGAAATAACATCTTGTATGACTCCAATGTGCTTGGAGGACTGCATCCATGCATCTCTGCAATGATTCAAATATCGTTGATCTTTTAATAACCTGAAATAACTTAAGTCATCTGGAATGGCAAAGAAAGCGTTCTTGCAGGACTCCCAGAGTTCATCAAGATTCTTTGGATTCATCTTCAGTGCCTCCTCCTTCATCTTACCCCAGACATGCTCAATAATGCTCATATCTGGTGACTGGGCTGGCCAATTCCTAATGTTAATTTTTATGATGCTGAAAACTAGTAAACGCCTCATAACAGTCTTGTGAAAAGGGTTTGTTTGAGGTGAGACTTCTGAAAATTTGTTCAGATCACAGTTCTGTGGTCATAGTTTTCTGATTGATTTAGTTTACATTGTAAAATACACAAATACCGTGTAGAAACACCAAACATCAGCACAACACACAGAGCCTTATAATCTATTGATTACAGTATTTTAAAATGTTATTGTCAAGGTTGTTTACTATTCTAATTTCAACCTTCGAGTTTGAAACCTTGACAAGATAACCACTTTTTCCCTTCTATGAACTGTCTCATCCCTAATGTATATGCATGACTTCTTATTGATTATTAACTTCAATTTTTCAGGCGGCAATCCATGGCGTTCGGTTAAATAATCAGGAGTTACGTTTGGCCTGGCACAAACCCACTGCTTCCCTCAACACAACAGACCCAGATGAGGCTGAAGCAGAGGATGAGGAGGTATACACTTTACCACTGTGTTTGCTCTGCTCTGTTTGTTAGATGTACAAATCATTTTATTTATAACGGTAACTCCATTTATATACCATGTGGGAATCAATGTTAAGCATCAGAACTTTTTGAACGTTGATTAATAAGGAATATTTCTTGAGCATCAGATTGGCATGTTAGAATGATTTCTGATGGACAGTGTGATATTTAATAATGCTGAAACATTTGCTTTAAATGGGGTCAGATTTTTAAATGTAGTAATTTTCCTTTAGAGGGCCATGAGACCCCCCCCCCATATCAGCAGGGTGTTTTCACACCTATAGTTTGAAAAAAGTCAGAAAAGTGGGTGAGTCCAGCTCAGTCTAGGTGGAAGTCGAGGGAGGGAAAGAGTAAGGGTTTTGCATAAAAATGGGAGTTTCCATTTAAGCATGCGCTGATTTTCACAGAGGCAAAACAAACACACAGACACGGGAGAAAGACAGCGTCTATGTTTACATGGACATCAGTAATTGAATTATTTGCCAAATTATTATTTTTTGTCGACTTTACCTGCAGTTTGGCACTTTCACTTTCATACAGGAACATTTCATGCATGTGCCTGTGACAAACGAGATATTGGATGCGAGGTGTTTTAGCAGCGTGGGACACGTTTAAGACTGTCAACATCTCAAAAATTTGTGTTGCTGTTAATTTTCGTTATTTTTGATTAAACTGCCTTGCTGAACATCAGATACCGAAAGTAAATTAGTAAAAGTTTACTACAGATGTTCACTAAATACTTATTTTCATTAGTATATTGTACAAATTAAAATATGTCTCTTCTAATTGAGTTAATAAACATTATTAAAAAGCTAATGAAGTCACAGATTTAAAGAGGACCTATTTTGCCCCTTTTTACAAGATGTAGAATAAGTTTCAGCTCAATATTACATCCAGATAATGTTTTATAACTCTTTGGAACTGCCCCTTTTAGGCTTTGATCCTAATTGTGCCATTTTAGTGTCTGTCGCTTTAAATTCAAATGGGATCCAAGCCTGGTTTTCAAAAGAGGGCGGAGCTACAAATGACTGTCAGCATAGTGGCAGATTCAAAAACAAGACTAATGTCCTATGCTAATGTGGTAAAGATGGTCTCTAATGGGCGGGGATTTCTGCCTCTGATGACACGTACAAAAGGAGAATGTCAATCAAAGTGTTTCAATAGACTGTTTGTGGTTATAATAAATAAAATTAATCAATTTTTCACCATTAGAAGCTGCTTATGTTTACAGACTGTTGCCACACAACTGTGTTTAAACCCCTTATAAAAGGGATTTTTGCATAATAGATCCCCTTTAAGTTGCACAATATTATAAATATGGACATCTTTTAAGACTTTAAACCTTATAGCATGACTTTAAAAACATCACTAGGACCATCGGTTTGTGGTTGTCAATCTGGAAGAGTTGTGTAATTCTGCATGCACTGCATTTGGATCTGAGGGTCTGTTTTCTGGTTGGCTGCAGTTTCCAGAGGACTCACTGGTGGACGATTCCCTGCTCCAGGATGATGATGAAGAGGAAGAGGATAACGAGTCGCGCTCATGGCGCAGATGAAGATGAAGTCTTCTGTCCGGTCCTGCTGCACTGCACCACTCGAGCACATCGCATATTGATTTCTGTGTTTTTCAAATGGTTGTTTTTAAACATTCTAATTTACATTGGCTTTTTTATTTTAATTATTAATCCCGAGCAGCAAGTAGAAACTGTCTGTCAGAAGGCTGTGAATTTGAATAACTGCGATGTATAATAACATGAATTATATGGTTTTTTTTACCCTCATGTATTATTTTCTATCATCGAAAAATTGCCGCTGCATTTATTTTTTTGTGTTGTTTTAATGGTCAGTTTGCTGACCCAAATTTTCTTTGAACATTTCTGACAATGTTACAGTTTGAGACAAATATGGGGTATATTACTATTTCAAAGACCACAGTAGAGCATTTTTGAACCATTGTTATAAACCGTTGTTCGCTTTCCTTAGTATTATCAGCCTAACGAGGATGTAGCTTTTGTGTACATATATTTTGTGTATGAATTTTAATGGTTTGTATGAATTCTTTGCTTCTGGATTCATCTCCTGGGTTTCATTTTGAAATGTAAAAAATAAAAAAAATTGAAATGGTCTCGAAAAAATATCAGCTGGAAAAAAAGAAGAAGAAAAAAATATTGAGATCTCTGCTGCAAAAGCAGTATGGAGAACAAACAAACAAACAAAAAAAAACTGAACAGCTGAATACAAAGACCATTTCAACCCCCAACCCCCAATCCTCACAAAAAGAGCAATTTTCCTAAACCCATCACACACTTCACAGCACCTACAGGTAAGCAAGTAGCATAGTGTTGTCACGATACTGGAATTTGATACCATTCGGTACTGTCATTTTAAAAACATCAATATCCCGCTAGCATTTGAGCGCATTCTTAAACAGCGCCGATTTGCCACTGGGTTCATGTGCTCAACAGAAATGACTTAGATTGGCGGTGAAGCTCATCGGTTCACCAAACTCATCACTGTTTACTGAGTGTGAAACGCTAGAGTCCTTGTATCTGTGTTTTTAAGGGTGCTTTCACACCTGTGAATCGATTCAGTTCTGAAACGGGGATTAAAATTGTTACATTGTTGCTCTTTGCTCTTGGTGCGGTTCGCTTTCACACGGCAAAATTTCTAAACAGACCAAAAGAGCTAAAACAAGTCACGTGTGAGTAAACTCTCCACGCATTGGTCAGTTTCACTGTTTATTTAGCAGAGTCCCGCTCCGCTGTCAGGGGGGTGGTGTTTGACGAATGTGACGAACTGCGCTAACTGGGCAAACGAGACAGGTTCCGAAACAAAAGTCTAGGTGTAAAAGCACCCTAAGTCACGCCGATCTGCTGGTTTGTCTATAAACTGACATACGAGTGACTTGCGGCTTTAAAACGCTGCAGTGTCCCTGTATCTGTGCTTACACTCCGTAAACAGCTGTGGATTTGGTGAACCGATTACCTTCATGGCCAATCACAGTCATTTCTGTTGAGCACGTGAACCCAATGGCAAATCAGCGCTGTTTAAGAGCGCGCTCAACAGAGCTCCAATGTTAGCGCTACTTGGACTATTTTAAAATTGCAGTACCGATTGGTACCTAATTCCAGTATCGTGCAAACCTAATGTAGCATGAGAAGCAGAAAATGAGGTAAGCATTGTGTTTTTAAATTTAATTTGGGTCATCTTCATTGGCATCTTTTCTAACCATTGTGTGTTTCTGCCCTTTAGGTTATGCGTGATGATGCATAACAGTACAATGATTGCAGATGAAGCTTGAACAGCATCAGATCCCCAAATGCATCCCACCACTTTTGGCTGCTTCTCCTGCTGCCTCTACAGCAGGGGTGTCCAACCTCGGTCCTGGAGGGCTGGTGTACACGAGAGTTTAGCTCCAACCCTAATCAAACACACCTGAACCAGCTAATCAAGCTATTACTAGATATACTAGAAACATCCTGGCAGATGTGCTGAGGTAAGTTGAAGCTAATCTCAGCAGGACACCGGCCCTCCAGGACTGAACTTGGACACCCATGCTCTACAGCAGTGGTCACCAAAGTTGTTCCTGGAGGGCCGGTGTCCTGCAGATTTTAGCTCCAACCCTAATCAAACACACCTGAACAAGCTAATCAAAGTCTTGCTCGGTATACTTGAAACATCCAGGCAGGTGTGTTGAGGCATGCTGGAGCTAAACCCTGCAGGGACACCGGCCCTCCAGGACCAGGATTGGTGACCCCTGCTCTACAGTATCATAGCATCGGATTTGCATAACAATAAACCGATCATCCAATCAGAGTGAAGGCGGTTGATTAAACTCTCCCACCATACACCACACTAAAGTTTAGCTCAAGGAGTAAACTGAGGTAAGCAATGTGTTTTCCTATACCTTTTTTTTTCTACACACTTCACAGCAACATCAGGTAAGCATGTAGCACGGGATGCAGAAAATGAGATAAGCAAAGTGTTTACATTTAATTTCTTTTCTAACCATTGTGTGTTTTTCCCTATTAGCTTATGCATGATGATGTATAGCAGTACAATGATTGCAGATGAAGATTGAACGACATCAGATCCCAAAATACATCATACCAGCCTACCTGTTACCAGTTTTGGCTACTTCTATTTGACACCTCTTCAGTATCAGCATCAAATTTGCATCACATTGAACAGATTATCCAATCAGAGTGGAAGCAGTTGATGCGACTTTGCCATCATGCTCCACTGTAAAGTTTAGCTCAAGCAGTAAACTGAGGTAAGCAAAGTGTTTTTCTATATTTATCTTTTTTTTTCAGTCTGTGCATTTCTGCCATGATGTAATAGCAATGTAAAAGCCCTTGCTCGTGTCATTATCATTCAGTATCTTAATTTTTATAGATTTTTTTTGGTCAGTGATGATTAATAGCCCCCCTTGTCTTCTTAAAACATTTATTTTACAATATTTGTTGACTCTTGATCCCATTAGTAGCATTTCCACCACATTCCAGTACAGCCCATGCAGTATAAACTGAGGTAAGCAATGTGTTTTTCTATATTTAACTTTCTTTTTCTTTTTTTTCAGTGTGGAACTGCATTTCTGGCCATTAGGTCATATATAATGATGCAATGGCGATGAAATTATCATGGGGGAACCTTCATCTACATTAGATCACCAAATGCTTCATATCTACCAAGTCTGTTTTAAATCAATATGATCTTCATGTGCGTTTCCGATCGCCTTTTTCACGGGACTTTTTATTTTCAACTGTCTGTGAAAACTGTTTTCAAGCTTAAGGACACTGAAACTATTTTTGCAATATTATTTATAACTTCATATCTTTGGTAATTGCCGCTCCCTGATTAGCCAATCAGAGCTTATATATTTTAATCAGTAAATCTTTGTTCACTTTGGGCCTATCTTTGTTTATTGGGAATTTTTGTTAGTCCAATTGTGATATACCTATTATTATCACACGACTCTAAAACCAGTTTTTACAATATTTGTTGACCGTTGATGCCTTCTCATCATCCTGGCTGATTTCATTCAGCCTCTAAGCATCGCATTTAGATAGTGGAGATTTAATTATCCGAGCTGTATCAGTTGGTGATGTGACTAATATCCTATAATATATACCATCTAACTGTACAGTATAAACTTGAGTAAACAAAGTGTTTTTCTATATTTAACATGTTTTTCAGGATGCAACTTGTGCATTTCTGGACAATAGGTCATATATGATGATGCAATGGCAATGAAATTATTACAGATGAGGCTTCAGTTGCATTGGATAACAAATATTTCATACTGTACCCACTCACCATGCTGTAATTAAGTATCGTCTACTTTTCTGATGGCCTTTTTCTGGACGTTCAATTGTTAAGTACTGATTAACTGTCCACCATTTCTCCTGCTGAACACTAAAACCAGTTTTTACTATATTCGGTTTCCTTCAAAGCTGTTTTAACATTGACCAGTTGAATTTATCACTCCATACGATGTAAAGTATGAACAACTCATTCATTCATTCATATTCTGCCCCTTTTCCGGGGCCGGGTCACGGGAGCAGCAGTCTTAGGAGAGAACCCCAGACTTCCCTCTCCTCAGACACTTCCTCCAGCTCCTTCGGGGTGATCCCGAGGCGTTCCCAGGCCAGCCGGGAGACATAGTCCCTCCAGCATGTCCTGGGTCTTCCCTGAGGCCTCCTCCCAGTGGGACATGCTTGGAACACCTCCCTAGGTAGGCGTCCAGGAGGCATCCAAAACAGATGCCCGAGCCACCTCAGCTGACTTCCCTCGATGTGGAGGAGCAGCGACTCTACTCCGAGCTCCTCCCGGGTGTCAGAGCTTCTCACCCTATCCATAAGAGTGCGCCCTGCAACCCTTCGAAGGAAACTCATTTCGGCTGCTTGTATTCGAGATCTTGTCCTATCAGTTATGACCCAAAGCTCATGACCATAGGTAAGAGCAGGAACGTAGATTGACCGGTAAATCGAGAGCTTTGCCTTTCGGCTCAGGTCCTTCTTCACCACAACGCACTGGTACATCGACCACATTACTACTGCCGCTGCACCAATCCGCCAATCAGAACTTGTACATCAAATCCACCAAACTGTAGTTCTTTGTTCACTTTCCTCATGGCCTTTCTCTATTTTTAGGGGGCATTTTGATGTCAACTTAAGATGAAACTCCCTACCTATTTTCCCGCAGGACACTAAACCTGTTTTTACAATATTTGTTGACCCTTGGTGCCACTGCACCATCTTGGCTACTTGCATCGGGCCTCTAAGCATCACATTTGCATAGTGGAGAACGAATTGCCCAATCAGAGCGGTAGCAGTCGGTGATGTGGCTCTCCCACCTTGGTGCCTGTCACGGAGCCTCAGCTAATTGTGAAGAATTCGATTTGCTCTTGGAGTGTGCCATGAAGCTCAGCTTTACCCCCGCCAACTAAACCTCGCCTGGCCCAGCAAGGGGGCCCTTAAGTGGACGTGATCCCCCTCCTACACGACCTCATGCTGCACTGCTTTCCCAATACCCCCTCCATCCCTGACTGGGCCCTGATCTCTCACCATAACACGGACCTAAAGTGTGTGCGTGTGTTCCATTCTTACCCTAGTTAAAAATTGACCTGTGACCTCTCTCCTGGTGTAATATAACACTTTAATAAGCTTTGTTGGGTCAGTTAGTGTGTCGTTACTATGGAGATTGTCGGGGCGTGTGAGGGATGTAAATCGCACTTCTTAAATAGGCCTGTTTAATCTGCGGGACCCCTGCAGCCCGACTACTATGTAATGAAGTGATGTATTTGTTAAACCGGGGACTCATCGTGAGCTGCGAGTCCATGAGGCGAAAGCGTTTCTGGCAAAATCAACCACGTAATGCGTTTAACACGGAAAACGCAGGCTAACCAGTTTAGAGCGTGTCGGAGAGCTTCAGCTAACGCGTTTACATTTGGCTCTGTCATTTGTAAAGACTCTTTAATTTGTAATTTGTGTCAGCAAGATAAATGGGTTTATTTTTGTAACCGGTGAAGTAAATGATGTCGGACTCTGAGATTTCGTATTGAAAGTAAGGTGGTAAGTTTGCATCTTCATGTCATCATTGTATGCAAAAACGTAATGTAAATTTACATAAAGCCCACCTTTAGTTCTGATGAACCTGATTAAAACTGTGCTCGTGTGTGCATTGGGTGATGGTGGCCTCTTCCTGCCCAGTCTCTCTCATACCCTCTTGCTAGCGCCGAGAAAAAGTCTTTAATATTTTATGCGATCACGGGCCTCTATAAGCAAATTTCAGTCCCTGGCAAGTTCAGCCAAAACATGATTAATTTAGTGTTTATCCCCGACATCCTTTAAAAAAACAAAACCCCCTCGGCCAGACGTGCAGAGCTCAGTTTGAGACTAAATCTCTGACTCTACATCATAATACCGGCCTGAGGAGGAATCTTTAGCGGGGCCGCATTTTCTCATTTGGATATTTGAGAAAGGGGAAGACGGAGTTACTTTGCTCTGGGTTTCATTACACACAAAGACAAAGCTGTCGCTTAAATGAAGGTGGAGGACGTGTTTTTATCATGTTGCTTTTTTTTAAATTGGAGTTTTATTTTTATTATACAAGCTCACAGGTCTCTGAACTTGTGCATGCCAGAGAATACCAACTCTGCATGAGCTTGTTTACTGTATAGCTTTACTGTAGGCATTTATTTGAGCGAGAATGGCGTTGACTGAAACTCTCTGTCGTACACCATGTCCACCATAAGGGTACCCTTGGTAGTGGAAACGCAAGCCTGATAAAGGTGACCGGTACTGACTCGTACTGTACCAGTCAGTGGAAATGGGCTGTAAGTAATTGAATTGTGAGGTCTCCGAATTTTTATTAAGAACCACAGCTCTTTGAGAGTAATAATTGCATTTTTAATGTTATATAAAGACCAAATCATGAGGAGTTTCAGTAAAGCACTAGTAATGGCAGATTCTTGTAGTTGAGATTTGCACCTGCTTGTATATATATTTTTTTTTTTGTCTCTGTGGGTGTGTTGTCAAGAGCGGCTCCATCTGTCTCACTCAGCGGCGTCTGTAAAGGTGCTGACAGTAGCTTTGGCTGTTTGAACTTTACAGTGGCCTTGTCATGCAGACAACTGCCCTCCGCTGAACCACAAATCCCAGATTCCCCAGCAACACCGCAAAATTAGCTCCATAAATCAGCCGGGCTTTTGGGAATAGGCCGCGTGTTGCCAGGGGCGATGGATCATCCCGGATACTGGTGTCAGGGGTGCGTGTGTCTCGCAGATCCAGCCATCACTTGTGTTAAAAATACTCCAGTGGAGCTGCCGAAGGTGTCCGATGGTGTAAATGTCCACACCTGCTTACATGCAAAGCCTTTCTCTGCTTGCTCTGTGGCGTCTTTTGCCTTCTGACTTATTAACGATGATTTTAGAGAGTAGATTTGGAGCTGTTACAGTCAATGTGATGACCTACATGACCAGCAGACTGAGACGGTTTGATTTCATTTGTCCTAATTCTGTGAGCGATCACCGGATGGCAGTGTGCTGCAGATTTATTCATCGCTTTATTATTTGAGCAAGCAATACATGTATGATATTTGAGTTTTAGCCAGATTTTGTTTCTTTTTGTTACAAACTGAATATAAATATTTGTTTGGGTCGATTGTGCAAGGCTCACTTGAACATTTTTGTTCATTACTATTGCAGGCAATTGTAATTAATGTGGAATGACTTATTATTATTATTTTTTATTATTGTATTTTTGCTGTTGATTCTTTTATTCCAACTTCGGACATTGTGTTCATATGATAATAATATAATATAATAGTAACATTCATAGAATAATACAGTTTTAGTTACATCATTTGGTCAGAAAAATAAACATATTTATTGCAGTGTTCTTCCACCAATCAGAATCTGGGTTAATCCACCAAATATTGATTTCTTTTTGTTTTTTAAAACGGCTCTAAATAACCAAACTGTGGTTATTTAAGTCTTCTGTTGCTGTTGTTTTATCTAAAACATTAATTGAATTGGCGCTTTTGCCATTAAAATCATAAAAAAACAAATTTTTTGCTTTATAAATTTGCTCTAAATAGCCAAACTGTGGTTAAGTCTTCAGAAGTTAAAACATTGATATTGTTTTGTCTAAAAAATCATTTAAACAAAGGTTTTGTCTAAACAAATCATAAACACATTGTTTTATAAAATTGCTTTAAATAATCAAACTGGTTATAAGTCTTCAGAAGTCAAAACATCAATATTGCTTTTTCTAAACTAATTTAAAACCCGCTTTTTTCATAATTATAAAAACACACCCTTTCTGTTTTACAAAACTGTTCTAAATAATCATACTGTGGTTATTTCAGTCTTCTTAGGTTTATTAAGAACATTAATAAACATTGCTACTGTTTTGTCTAAAAAGCATTTAAAACACCTTTTTGTTTAATAAAAATAGTATAAAAAACACCTTATTTGTTTTATAAAATAGCTTTAAATAACCAAACTTTAAGTCTTCTAAAGTTAAAATATTGCTTTTTTATCAAAATAATAATAATAATAATAATTTAAACAGCGCTTTTGTCATTAAAACCATAAAAATAATAGTTTTTTTTTGGCTTTATAAAATTGCTTTAAGCAAACTGTGGTTTAGTCTTTGGAAGTTAAAACATTGATATTGTTTTGTTTAAAAAATCATTTAAACAAAGGTTTTGTCATAAAAAACACCTTATTTGTTGTATAAAAATGCTTTAAATAATCAAACTGGTTATTTAAGTCTTCAGAAGTCAAAAATCGATATTGTTTTGTCCAAACTAATTTAAAACCCGTTTTTTTTTTTCATACCAATTAAAAAAACACCTCTGCTTTATAAAATTGCTCTAAATAACCAAACTGTGGTTATTTACGTCTTC